GGCTGAACACACCCACCTCTCCAGCCCTGCCACACCCCACCAGCTCCTGTTCACTGCTCCTTGCTCTCTGACTCCTTGAAAGGGCTGCACTTGAGCATCCTCAGTGAGTTCTGGATTACAGAAGGTAGATGACTCAGCCTGCAGCATCTCTAGTGCCTGGCTGGGCTGGGGTACCAAGAAGGAGTCAAGAGTCTATTCTCAAGCCAGCAATCAGCTTTAGGAAGTCTAACAAAAGAGCCCAGACCACAGCACCCCTCAGCCCAGCCTGCAGGGCTAAAGAAACCAGAATTTTCTGTGGCCTCCAAGGCCCTACAAGCAACTCCTTGCTTCACTTCCTCCCCTCTCCTGACCACAGGGGCCCTCAGAGCTGCCTGTCCTGCAGCGCCTTGACCTCCTATCTGCTCCCACAGGCTTGTATGCTCCTCCTGCTGGGTCTCCCTCGGGCAACCCCTGCTTCTCCTGGCTGTAGCCATCCCCTAACCCTCTTCCCTGCTTTTTTCTCAGAAACTGAGAAACATACAAGGGAGGGAGAGATCTCATAAAGAACAGACAGAACAGGACAACACGCCTGAGTCGTGGCAGCTGTGCTGGGGGGGGGGGGGGTAACCACACACTCACAGCACCTGTGAAGCATTAACTGCAAAGTGGAAATGTCCCAAGAGCCAAGCGCCACCTACACATGCTGGAGCAGACCTCCATTCACTGGGGGTATGTCCCATCCCCACGTAAAGGTCTTAGCGTCTAAGGAAAAGGACCCTGACGTCTGTGAAGCCAAGAAGTTCAATGGGTTCTGAAGGAACATCTATTACACCTATTACACTCTGCTTTTTTAAATACCCAATTTAAAACCTTCAGGGAAAAAAAATTCAACTAAATTAAACTCTTCTGTGGAGTCCTGAATACTTCAGGTCGCATCCAGAGAACATGTCCTCTTTTCTCCAAGTGAAATCCACTCATATTGGAGACACCAACACCCCCCACCCTCGAGCTCAGGAATCTGCCATGGTCTGTGGAGATGAATTTCTGTGGCTGTGGGGTTTCCTGCTTCCCTGCTCATGCAAGGCACAGATTTTCATTTTTAAGAAAAAGGTCAACACGGGAAGATGATGCCAATTCCTGGAAGGTCCAGGTAGAAAGACTGAGGACGAAGACAACCTTTAAAATCTGTAGTGAGACCAAACAGAGTTCTGAAATGCTGCGAGAAAATGCCGCAAGTAATGACTCCTTCCTCTAAAAATGCTCTGACACTAACCCCAGGCCTGCTGTACTAACGCTGGCCTATGCAGCAAGAGCACATTAAAGTTGTAGGTTGCCGGTCATGTGACCACGGGTGTGGCCAACAGCCTGGCTATCCGGGAGGACCCCATGTCGTCACAGAATCCTTGCTTGCAGAAGACAGCAAAGCATGGAGGTGACAGCCTCACGACGTCTCAGCAGATGTGGCAGCTTTGAAGATGGGGGAAGGGACCGCCAGGAACCACTTGAATCTGAAAATAATGAGGAGACTCTTCCCCTGGCCCCCAAAAGGTAAGCAGTTCTTCCCACAGCTCAGCATCAGTGAGACTCAGCTCAGACCCCTGACCTCTGTGTGGTGAGATGCTGTGCAATTACGGCCCAGGATCCTGGCAATTCTTAAGCTTGCGATAGGAAATGGATGCAGATCCACACTTGCCTAGACCATCAGACCATCAACACCCCTGCTGCTAACCAATGGTTTGTGTGAGTCCAGAAAGGTCCTTAGCTGCCAAGCCAGGTCATCAGATTCCAGAACCATCCCTCCAAAGTGGCCTCAGTGTACCTGCTTTAATGTAAACAGCAAATACCTGCTAATTCACACAAGGGGCAGAAAACTCTGGAAGTAAGGCTGTCTGGCCAATATATGTAAGCAAGATGACTTTACAGCCAGAGGCACTGAAGCCCAGGGAGAACGTGAGCAGGCCAGGGACAGTATACCAGGGGCTGTCAGAAATGCAGGGAACACACAGGCCCCTGCCTTTGTGAAAACAATCTTCAGCGGAGAAGTCAGACAACAGACAAGTAAGAAAATCCAAGAATCTCTGGCAACGATAGATGCTGTTAAAGAGAAAAGCATGGCCCAGGGGCCCGTCAAAGGAAAACTCTCAGCATGAACACATGACCAACAAGAGAGGGACAGTGTGAGATGATGGGGAAGAGGGCCTTGCCAGAAAGGGCCAAGCTGTCCCCTCCACAGGAGGGGTTGGACATGTGGAACTACAGAAACAAACTGTGGAAAGAATTAAGACCTGAGTACAGTTACGGAGAGGGACTTGCCCCAGCAGGGCAGAGTTAGAACGGCAAAGCCACAGTAACCAGAATTGGGGCTTCAGGGTAGAAGGAGGAAAGCAGACTGGCAAGAGGAAGTGATGGAGGGGCAGGAGGATACGGGGAAGAAGGGATGGAGAGAAGAACGGAAGGACAGTGGGAGGGAGGAGAGTCAGGGGCAGATCCTAGACAGCCCTGCCTGTATGAGACCTCAGTGAGGAGCAAAGGTCATTGTGGGAGGACAGACACAGAGTAGACAGCTCAGGGGAAACCTTCTCTTTTTATAAAGGTAAAAACAAAAGAGCCTTTTTCACAGGATCAGACAAGTAAATACATAAACAGGAAAGTGACGGCCTTGTGTAAACAGAAAAAAGCATCAGAATATTGAAACATAAAATCAAGAAAGAATTTAGTTAAGAGTCTAAAAGGAAGGCGTATACCAAACAAGATTGATTACACAAAATTAAGGATTATTATTCATGAGAGACACAATAAACAAAGTTCTCAGACAATGACAGAATTGGAGGGGGTATTCTGCAAAGTCTAAAGGCAACAGGAGACTAATATCCACTAGAAGGAAATTAAATCCCCCTTTGAAACAGATGGCGGGGTGGCTCAGCAGACAGAAACAGCTTACTATCAAGGCTGACCACCTCAATCAACCCCCTGGGCCCATGTGGTAGAAGGAAACAAAGGACTCCCAAGTTTTTCTCTGACCTCTCAGCCGCGGCCAATGTAGATCTTATTCATGCCCAGTGACTAGAGTCTGGTCAAAATTACCAAAAAAAGTATGGAAATAGGACACAAACTAGAGTGAAAATCCAATGGAAAACTAGACAACAGCAGCAGACCCACAGGTCATGGATGGGGACTTTAAAACCACAACCGGATTCTATGCTTGAAAGTAAGGAGAATCTTAAAGGGGCCAGAACCTGTTTTTTAAGTGAATGAAAATGCTAAAATGCAAAAATAAATAACTGAAATTAAGAAATTACTTGACAAGTTTCATAGCAAATCAGACTTGGCAGGAGAGGAGAGACATGAACTAACACAGATCAAGAGAAAATACCCAGATGGGGGCGGGAGGGAGCTGGTGGTATGCTCCCATAGTCCCAGAACCCTGGGGGCCAGGAGTTTGAAACTGATCTGGGCAGTGAGACCTCACTATAAAAAGGAAACAAGTTCTAGATGGAAGCAGAGAGAGAGAGAATGACAGAAACAAAATAAGGAAAGGATATTAAAAAGTCAACACCACACAGGCATGGTGAAAAGACTGTGTGTAAGCAGAGTCCCTGACCAAAAACAGAAAGAAAAGGAGCCAAACTAAGCCAGTATTTAAAGGGTTAAAAGATGCTGATTTTTTTTTTTTTTTTTCAAAACTGATGAAAAGTATCAATCCTCAATCTCAGAAAGGTTGATCTACGCCAGAGAAGAATCAGCAATGAAAACCACACAGGTGTGTTGCATCCAAACTGCTGGAAGAAAAATGTCCTAAAAGAAGCCGACGTAGGGGGGAGCAGCAGAGGCTTTAAAAAGATGTGTCACCCTCAGAAGAGCACTGACACCTTCCAACTGTGGACTGACTCGCCACCAGCCAGGAAGAAGGCTGGCCTATGTGGATGGAAGGACGTGTGAATACCACAAAGGGAGAAAGTAGAGAAACATTGAAGATCCATATCAGCAAGCTAGAAAACAAGTTAAATCAAAAGAAACAGAGCAAATGAAATCATTAAAAAGGGCCCTAGTTGATGGAAAAACACACACAAAGCAAAAGGGCTTCCGAGAAAAGATTAATGGGGTGTGAATGTACACACACACACTCACACGCTCAAGTGCACAAGGGGGTAATGACAGATTACTAATATTCTAATTACTACTAATTAAAAATGTCACCGATGAAGCAGAGGCATCACTGTGGATCTTACAAGGTTGAAAGTGAAAAAAAGCATATTTTAACTGTATGATTTATACCAATAATCTAAATACAGATAAAATTGTCAAGGTCCTTGAAAAATGTAACTTGGCCAAACTAACAAAGAACGGAAATTTCTAATTAAAAGGGCTTTGACTGAATATATAATTTAAAGACCTTCAGAAGTCCTTCCCACTAAATTCTACTGCGTACTGAAGGGGACACAGCATCAATCTTGCACTCTTCAAGAGAAGAGAAGGAGGCCAGCATCCAGTGAGGGAATGGCCACAGGAAAACCCCACCAGCCTGTCTCCTCCATGAATCTAAGTAAGATATTAATGAATTAAACCCAGTCCTATCATAGCCAAGAGGCTCATTCCAGGTGAAGGACATTCAAAAATCAATTATCTCAGGAATTCCCTGTGGCTATTATGAAAGAACAGAGGTAAAACACAGGGTCAAAGAAATAAAATATCACCCACAAGAAGCTCTGGGGGCTGATTTATCTTTGAATGCAGCAGACTCCCTTTAGCTACACCAGCCAGGTGCCCTTAGGGGCCTCAATAGCAGCTTTCTACAGCTCAGACAATGGGAAGGGCAAAGAAGCCCCGCCCCCTCCCCTGTGAACGTCAGAAGGCATGACCTCTGCCTCCATTTTCCTCCTGGTTGATCACGACCCTCTGGTCCTGCCTGCCTCACAGGCTAGCAGTAAGAGCACGGAGAGCAAGAGAGCCCCATGAAAGACTAGACCATGTGTACCAGGTGGTGCTTGGTTTTGGAAGGCCTGCACCTTGGGTCCGCATACTCACCGGAGCGATGGGGGCTGGTTGCCCTGCCACATGAATGTTCTTTCCGGCCGCTCCTGGGTCACCCGGGGATTCCCACCCGGCAAGTACAGCTTCAAAGGTGTTGTGCTGGTTTCTGTGTGGCTGGACCCCAGTGAGCCATCCTCCGAAGAAGCACTGTCCCTCTGGGACAGCCCTTGGCTGCTGGAAGAGGCATCTGGCTTCTCTGTGGGCAGTTCACTCAGCTGGCCCAGAGAACTCCTGGAGTCACTGCTGGCAATGGTGACCTCCTGTGGACCTGGACAGGTGAGGGTGTGGACAAGAGGCTCAGAGGGCTGCTGGCTTTCCTCTGGGGCTTGGAGCTTCCTGCTCAAGGACGAGGAGCGTCTCAGAGAGCGTTTTCGGAATGAGTCCTGGAGGGGTAAGAAAGGAGACAGTGAGCTAGGGGAGCTCAGCTAGGGGTGCTGGGAAAATACTTTTATTAAATCATGATGCCCCCCCCCTCAGCCCAGGAAGGTCTGTTCCCACCCTAACTCCTTCCTTTTTTTTTTCTTTTATATTTTTTCATATAATATTCTGATATTCTGATTATAGCTTCCCCTCTACTCCCTGTTTCTCCTACCTTCCCTCCCATCTGGATCCACACCCTTTCTGTCTCTCCTTAGAAAACACAGATACTCAGGAATAATAACAAAATAAAAGGATAAAACAAAACCAACAAATTGGAACAGGACAAAACAACCAAACAAGAGCAAAGAAGAAGCATAAGAAATGTACACAGACGCAGAGATACACGCTCATACACACACGCATCATACAAACACACGGTGATATAGATGGATAGGACCTGTAAGGTTAAAAAAAATGCCCTGACTTAACAAAGGATTTCCAAAGATGCCATTAAGTTCGTTTTGTGTTGGCCTTCTATTGCTGGGCATGGGACCTATCTTTAAGGGTAGTTTGTTTCCCCAGTGAGATTCCCTTGGAGAAAAAATAATTTTCTTCAGGACGAGGTTTAGGAGATGGGGCAATGTGCTCACACTTCCTTCCAGTTCTACGTCCCATCTGGTGTAGACCCGTCAGGCCCTGTGCATGTTGCCTCAGCCTCTGTGAGTACAAATGTGCACCAGCCTGGATGTGTTTGGAAGGCCTTGATTCCCTGGTGTCCTCCATCCCCTCTGTCTCTTCCACTCTTCTGTCTGGTTCCCTGAAACCTGGGGAGCCCAACTCCTTCCTACTCACTGATGTACCTTCCTATACAGATCCCAGAGCACCCTAGGAGGCAGGAAACCTATAACTTGAGTGTCGCCTTACTGTGTCCTCACCTACACTGTCATCTGTGGAAGCTCTTTACTTCTCTATCCCTCACATCCTCACCAGTGACACACTGTCCCCAATCCAGCTTGGCATTTTCAATGAGGATTCTTCACTGATCCCGTGGTGACCTGTTGTTACCTGTTAGGATGTGGTTGCCAAGTTTGTAAGAGGTTAATATCCTCATGTTTAGCTATGAAGATACTTGGTTTACTCATGGAGATATGTGCTATGTGACAAATGCAGTCTGACAACCTTCTGAAATATAAATAAACAAACATTCTAAATCTAAAACACCTCTGGTCCCCAGGTGTGGAGTAAGGGAAGAGGATCGTGTAGGCCTTCCTCTCCTAACCATGCACAGGACAGGATACAGCACTAATGCACAGCAGGCTTGATAGAGTCATGGCAGTCAGCAGGCCGCTCTCACGCCCTGTCTCTCCTGGTGGTAGATCAGGAATGGCCAAAGCCATTCTCCAGTCACCTCTGGCGTCCATGGAGACCCCAGCTCAGTGGCCTATACTTCCTTAGCACTCAAGATTTGTTTATTTGAAAGAAAAAAAAAAAAAAGGAAAAGAGGAATCTAATAGAGTCAGGTGGAGTATCCACCTCCTCCTGGTGATTTGCTGAAGAAATGGGACCCTCTGCTAATAGTCAATGAGGCAATGGAGGATTGCTACAGAGGCGCAAAATATACCTTGGGGCTTTTCCTTGGTTCAGACTTCAGGATCTTTAAGCATTTCCAGAAACAGCTCAGGGGCCAGTGGAAACCTGGGCTGGAATAAGGAGAGCTAATTTTGTAGTTTTCTGGCCTTGTGGAAATGACTAGGTACACTATAAATCTGCTCCAACACTGTTCAGGGTATAGCTACATAGAGTGATGAAGACATTAGTTACCAGTCACAAGGGGACACATGAGTCCTCTTACCTCATCCACGACTTACTGATAAAAACTGACCCAGCAAGTATTGAATCCTTTCTCTTGAGCAACCAGCACATGTGGCCAAAATGTCAAACACCTACCAGAAAACCTAGGGACTTCGACAGCAATCACCATTTAAGGCATCTCAGGATTCATATATCACAAAGGAAACATCCCTTCCCCAAACAATTACCAAAACAGTCTGCAGCAATGCCCTTAGGAGAAGATGGGTCTCAACACATCCTTCTCACCAGTCATGGAGTATCATCTGCACACACTAAAGGAATGAAGCATCTTCTTGGTAGGAGACAGGAACCCGACACCCACTGTACGGTTCTCAAATTGTGGTCCACCTACTGCAGAGGTCCCCAGACCCTCTCAGGAGCCTGAAGCAAATCTTAAAGTAACTGGACATTAGCTATGACTTGAGTGTGTCCTCCAAGGTGCACATGCCACTTGAGTGTGCACATGCGGCGAGGCTGGTGGTGTTTAGATGAAGGAAACTTAAACGGTAGGGCCAGCAGAAGGTAGCTGGGTCACAGAGGCACCGTTCTTTGAAAGGATCACTACTGACCACATGGGACCAGATAAATTCCTAAAAGAGTGGTTTGTTGCAAAAGAACCTGGCACCCCTCCTGAGTCCCTGCTTCCTTCACACAGCCAGCCTCTGCCACTTGCTGTCCTCCTGAGTCCCTGCTTCCTTCACACAGCCAGCCTCTGCCACTTGCTCTCCTGCCATGATGGTGTCTGCCCTGCTATAAAGTAAACAGAAGGTCTTCATGGGTGTCCCAGCAGAGAGGAGTCTCAAGACTCTGAGACTCCAAAAACGATGACCTATAAATACCCTGTTTATGAAATATCCATCCTCAGACACCTAGTCAGAGTGGCAGGCAACTGGCTGAGACAGTAGACACGTGACCCAATTCGCCTTTTCACAGTGTGACCTTCATATGCACAGCAACAGGAAGAAAATTTGCTGGCCTTGTACGTGAATCTAAACTTTAATGAGCAACTACAATACGGATTTAACTTCAGCAGGCCCACTGAAGCTTTTATTATTAAGCATCCTTAACCCCTTTCAGCCTAGAGGGCATAGTGCACATCTTTTCAGTATCTATCGCATGCAACCAAATGGGAGGTACCTATGCCCACTAGCCTAGAGGGAAGGATGGTGGCTACAGCTTGTGTAACCATCTAACTGTGAGTGAAGTGAACTTGCTGCTATTTTCAGGGAATGGCAGACAGACCATGGTGATTCAGAATTGGAATTTGGCAGGCATTTCTTGAAAATAAACTGAGCCTGTCACACCAAGGGAAACAAATGCTGTACTGTTTTCAGTGATAAAATACAAGCGGCACGGTAAGAACCAGAACTTTCGGGAATCCTACATCAGCCATCAGGAGCTTGGGGGGATGGACTTAACATTCCTGCAATCTTTGGTGGTCACATCAACAAATGTGCTGCTTTTTATTTATTTTCTTCCATATAATGAAATGTGTCCCATTTAAAAGATCTATGCAACTCAGTAACCAATATATTTCAAATGACTGGGGCATCATGCTGCTTAATCACATGGGAATAAAAGATTCAGCATGCATGACAGACCTATGGGAACCCATAAAGTACAAAAAGCACATTTATGTGGTTTAAGGTTCCACATTCAGTGATGGGGATGTAGCTTTATTTGATAGTGTACTTACCTAGCATACATGAAACCCTGGGTTTGAGCCCCAGCACCACATGTACCAGAGGTGGTGACACACTTTAATCCCTGCAACTGGGAGATGGAAGCAGGAAGGTCAGAAGCTCAAGAGCTTCCTCAGCTAGAATGCAAGTTTGCGGCCAGCCTGGGCTACATGAGGCCAGAAGGGGGGTTCAGATCCCCTGGAGCTAGAGTTACAGGCAGTTATAAGCAATCCAAGAAGGGTGTTTGGAACTGAACTCGGGTCCTCTAGAGAAGCAGCAAGTACACTTAAGCACTGAGCTATCTCTCCAGACCCAAGTTTAATTTCCAGTATAGCAAATATCAAAGGATACAATCCCAAAAGCAAAAGTTATAGGAATCCTCAATATTAAATGCACAAAGAGACCCTGAGACTAAGAGGTCTGAGGGCCACTGCTGAAGTCTATACTGTCAACTAGACAGGCTCCCTCTGCCACGTCCCCAGAGGGAAAGTAACATCCTGTCCCCACTGAGGCAGCTCTAAAGTCCTCATGCCAACTTCCAAGCAGGAGTTCAACAGTGCTTCCCACAGCCCTCGGGGGACTCTACACTGCTCCACCCTACAAAGGTCCGTGAGCAAACACCATGTGCCACAAACAAGTGTGACAGCTCTCGGGAGCCTCAGACTAACACTAGGATAGCTAATGGAGTCCTCTCATGATGCCACCACATCACTCCACTGGTGGTAACTATCCAAGGTACCCGGAGAGACCTGACAGAAAGGGGAAGGGAAAAGGAGGGGAGGGGAGGGGAGGGGAGGGGAGAGAAGGGGAGGGAAGGGGAGGGCACTGGGACTGACTAGAGATGCCTGCCAGAGTGAGGGACTCTAAGATGGCACCAATGTCTGAAAGCCACATATTTGCCACTCTGGGACTAGGCTTTTTCCTACTTCCACCTTACAAGAAATCGCTTCTATTCTGCCAATAAGAATTGTCTTGTCAAGATTCAGCACCTCCAAAGACTAAATTTTCTCCTGACTTCTCTCTAACTTTGCCAGCCACTTTCCTCTGGACAAGGTCCAGTTTATGAATTTCCTTCTTTGACGGGGTGCCTTGGGTGGAACACCTCTGTGTGGCATGGGCCACACAGAGGGAAGCAGACCCTCACTCCTTCATCAGTATGCCAAGATGTGTGGCCATAAGAATACAGAAATGCCAGAGATTCCCAGGTGATTTCAGATAGCCATCCAACAAGAACCTCAGCCAAGAGAAATGAAAACCTTGATCAAAGACCTCAGGGGACTGACTGAGGCAGGGAGAGGGTCCCCCTTCTTTGTCCTAACCCCACAAGATTCGTGCCAGCATCAACACATTTATCCAGACAGGGCACACAGCTAAGCGAGAAGGGAGGTGGCATTCTACAGGCACCCAGTGTTGGTCTACCCAGCCCCCTTATGTTACCAATACTAGGTCTGTTGCTGCTATTTTCCCATTTATTGTTTGGAAAGCTTCTTTCACACTGTCCTCTCATTTGGTGTACCCTTCCACCTAATGGCACCAAACCATATCCCTCCTTAAAGGAAACCGCCGAGCAATCAATGACATTTTTACAATTTTTCTGAAAGAAAATAAATGATCGATCGCCTTAGGGCCAGGGTTCTACTCCCCTTTAACCATGGTGGTAAGCAACGTTAGTCTCTAGACTAGGGGAGTTATCCTACTCTAGTACGTGTGTGTCTTCACTCACAGCAAGGGAAGATGAAATCAAAGCATCCATCTCACTAACTCAAGTAGAGGGCAGGGAAGCAGCCAAGTCTACTGGGGATCCACGGGGTCACTGAAAGTAGAGCCAAGGAGAAACAGGCAGGCATCCTTCCTGTCCCTACAAGCATCTCTTTCTCAGCCAGCAATGTCTGAAGTCAATCTCTCGCTCCCTAGTCTACAGAAGACAGAAAGAAAGGCAGTCCCACCTGCGGGGAGCTGGCGACGGGCCCGGCCATCATGCCTCGCACAATCAGGCCAGACTTTGGTCTGCTCCTCTCCAGCGGCCTCTTCACATCTATGCATGGCTCTGAAGAATGAAGCTGCTCCGCCTTCTCCCACGCAGGAACCAAAGGAAGACTGCCACCCGGGACCGTGTGTGAGGGCTTACTTTTGTGTGGGCTTTTTTTGGGTGATAGGAAATTACCGAGTATGTCCCCATCAAGATTGTCATGCCTGCAAAAAACATAACATTTCCATTAAGCCAAGTGGATGATAATAATAAACCCCACAGTTAGTCATCATTCATGAATACAGAACTGTAAATGAGCCAAGGCAGTAGAAGAATAGGAAGCACTTCTTGGGATCAGGGCAGGTGCACCAGAGTACAGCAAAGTCAGAGACGATGGTCCACAGAGGGTCCTAAGTCCTACCGGCTGAAGGCTGAAGAGCATCTTGGACCCTGAAGACTCAAATGATAAAGGAGGAAACCTGCAGTGCAGTGCTGGGCATGTGGGACTCGGCCTTGCTGTACATGGAGAGCACACCTGGGGCAAAGATTTCTAGGAGTTTAGTAAAACTGCACAGGTGTGTACACGCGTGTCTGTGTGCTTGCAAGGCGGGAGGGGAGGGAAAGGGTGCAAATGAAAAAAAGTGAGAAACGATAAAAAGAGTAAGAAGTGCTCTCTTTTTGTGGCGCCTCCTAGGTGGCCAGCCACAATGAGCTGCAACTGGGTATCTCTTCCCAACTACTGGCTGTCAGAAACTCACTCAAGTGGCTGCTGAACACAAACTCCGTGCTTTCTATGAGAAGCACATGGCCACACACTGCTGCTGCTGCTAAGCACCAGGTAAAGAGTGGAAGGGTTATGTCGTCCAAATTACTGGGAATGACAAACAAGGTTTTCCCATGAAGCAAGGCAGAATGCGCCTGCAGTTGAGAAAGGCATTCTTACAGTTACAGACCAAGAACTGGAGAGAGGAAGTTCAGGTCTGTTCAGGGATGCATGCTAATGCCAATCTGAGTGTTCTCAACTGAGAGAAGAAGGAGGATGAAGAAGAGGAAGAAGAAGAGGGGGATGAAGGAGAGGAAAGAGAGGAGGAGGAGGAAGAGGAAGAAGAGGAGGAGGAGGATTCTTGGACTGACAGATTCTACTGTGCCTCAGCAGTTAGGGCCCCAAAGAGCTAACAGAATCCTAAAGGCTTTCAATCTCTAGAAGACAGGTCCTATAATATGTTGTCAGACAGCCCTTAAACAAAGTAGGAAGCCCAGCACCAAAGCGCCCAAGATTCAGCTCTCCACATGTCCTGCCACACAGATGCCAACACTTTGCTCCAAAGAAACAACACACTAAGACAAACGAGGAGACTAAACTTGTGGCCAAGAGAGTGAAGGCAGCTAACGAAAAAGGCCAGGTACAGATTGCCAAGACAAGTAGGCTGTCCTCGCGGAGCGCTTCTACTTTGAAGTCCAAGACCAATCAATACCAAGTCTTTAAGAGTAACAAAGAAAAGAATAAAGAAGCAAGAAGTGATAAAGGACAGGACCGAGGTAGAAGGGAGCTTTGCTTGGGCTGCTAAGAGATCTGCACTCCGCTGACCCCAGATTTCTTTCCCTGGTTCGTGGTACACATGGTACTGATACCAATCTGTGCCACACCTCCCAGCAAGCCTTGGGTCACACATGAAAGCAGCAGTCGCTTGTGCCATTGTTGGGGAGTGTGAGGCAGATGACAAGGCAAAGGAAGGCTAGGGGAATCTGGAGGGACTGCCTGGGGAGTTCCCGAAACCCAGCACACAGGCCTGGGAGGGAATAGCTCAGTGAGCAGTGGGAGGTGGGTGGGGTCAGACTTATAAAGTTATCCAAAGGTACTTGGGGTTTCTCCCAAGCTCCAGGCAGTCCCTCATGACCTTCAAGGAAGGAGTGACCTGTCCCAATGTGGACCAAGGAAAGTTCAAACTGTCCAGGTCAGGGCAGAAGCTGTGGATGAGCTGACCCCCTGATGGAACCCAGGACAGCATCCACAAGAGTTACAGGGGGGGGGGGATGGGCATGTGAACAGAAGCCTTTGTCAGGAAGGGCAGGGCATTTAGTATCGCTAGGAACCAAGAGCTGACAGGATACGGGGGTGGGGGGGAGGCAAGGAACATAAAGGCTACCAAGATGCATCAGGCTTGGGAAATAGTAAGATTAAAACCTGGAGGCTTCAACTACCTCATAGTTGGTTTGGGCATAGCCTCAGAAATACTGCCTTTTCCAACCAGGCAGCAAATGCCTTTGCAAAGCGGGGCCACCTTTATGCCACCCTCCTGACCGTTCATGTTTGAAATCTCAGGTTACTTTCTATAGTGGCCTCACCCTTTCTCGGCTTGACATTCACACACTGAGCTTTCCTGCCAGTGGAAGAAAAGACCTATTCCCCAGAAGATAACCCCACTATTGACTTCATACAGCATGTGATCGTGTAAGTTATACACACCATTGGAGACCACATGTACTATATGATAGTTGCAACTTGGTAGAACTGTTCTCCAAATAATGGCACTATACCATATACCTGTTGCAAACAAAATCAAAGCAAGTCCCTGAGCCTTAGGAATCGTGGGATATAATGTCAACCTCTTGATCATAAGGAAATAGCATCACAAAGCGGTCCATTCTCGTGGCCTTCTGAAGAAACTAACATGGCTCTGTGACAGAGAATTAGAAACATATGGTGTGGTGAACTGAACAGTGACACTCTGAGATGTGCATGTCCAGATCCCTTGAAACTCTGTGATATCTGTGTCAGTTAGTCCTCATGGTCAACATGACTGGACTTAGAATCACCTGGGAGACTGGTGAGATGAGGCACACCTCTGAGTGCATCTGGGAGAGCATTTCCAGAAAGGTTTAACTGAACAGGAAAAGACCCCCGTCCCCCGATGTTGGCAGGACCATCCCATGAGCTGAGGAGAACAAATGGGATCAAAATGAATACACGGATGCTGGATCTAAGACAAGGCCGGGTGCTTCTGTGATGGTAGTTTGTAAACATGGCAGCTTCTTAGACCCAGTTAACTTTAAGGAAGGCGGATATGGTTCTGTTTCCCGGCAAACACTCACTGGCATCAACAAGTCACTGTGATTGGTTACAGCAGCAACATCAGCTGCTGGACAGAGTGAGGAGGAGGAGGAAGATACACGTACCTGGCTTTGCCTGCTTCTGACCATGATGTTCGTCTTCCTATGTCGTCATCTGAAAGGTCATAAATATTCACCAGTGTGGTCTCCAAACTTCTCGAAGGCAATTTATTATTTTTCTTTGGAACTGGGAGTGGAGGGATCGGGGCTTCTTGACTTAAATTCTCTGTGTTCCCAGAATGGTCCAGAAAATATCTGGTAATAAGCTCAAGGTTGGTTTTTAGAGGCTTCTCCTTTGCCTATCATTGGGAAGGAAAAAAAAATATCATTAACTGAATGTAGAGGGTGAGAAGAAGTGTTAGGAACTAGCAGCCAGCTGACCCCCGCCCCCAACGATGGGCGGGACGCTCATGGACATGTCATCGCTATGTCAGCCTTACCTGGTGGCTCAAGCTTTACCTGGCTGCCAGAGGACTCAGTTACGCATGCGCAAGCCCCCTTTTAAAGCAAGCGCGCCAAGTGCGCCTCTCTCTTGTTCCCCCTCTTGCTCTCTCTTGCTCGCTCTCTCTGCCCCCACCTCTCTCTCTCCCTCCCCCCTTGCTTTCGGTTGACCACCAGCTACACCCCCTTTCTCTCCCTTCTCTCAATAAACTCCCCGTGGGTGCTGAGTCTCGTGTTTGTGTTTTATAGGCATTAGCTGCAGCAAAAGAACAACACCAATCCTTTGACAAAAGCTTACCAGCTTTTCCATCACACCACAAACACACACTCACTCACTCTGTATGTCAGGCACTGTACTGGGTAGGGAATGAGAGATAAAGACAAAAGCCCTACTCTGAAAGAACTAGCATCCTGTGATGTGAGCAGAGGGCTGGCCAGAACTAGACGAGAGATATCCTTGAGGAAATAGTTTTAATTTAATTTTGTATTGCACTTCACTTATAGGGGGAGTGCCACTGCACGTGTGTGGAGATCAGAAGACCACTTGGTCAATTCTGTCCTTCCACCCCACCCCCCTAGGCCCCTATGGAGCCAAGAAGCAGCTGAGCCTTAACATTTACTGACGGGGCATGTCCCCCACACGCTCGTTTTCTGCGTACTTGGTTACCAGCTTGCGGCACGATGTTGAAGTCTGTGGAGTCTTTAGGAGCTGGGGCCTGGCTGGCAGAAGTAGAGGCAGGGTTCTGAAAGTCATACCTGCCCCTGATCCCAGCCTCACGTTCTTTGTTTCTGGTCTACAACATGTGATAAGCCAACTCACATTCTAGCCACCGTATCTTCCCCATCATGATGGACCAAAATATCTAGAATCTAGAATCATGATCCCAAGGAAACCTTTCATCCTTCTCGTCATTTCTGTCAGGTGTTTTGTCAGAGCAAAGACAAAGGTAAATAACACAGTGGATGGTCGTTCTTTAACACTGACCACTAGGATTGCAGAACCTGAGCCAAGAAATTAAAATGAAAAGCAGAGTCATCTGGGACTGACTCAGGTTATACCCCAGGGTAAAAAAGAAAAAAAAATATGTGAAGAAACTCTTCAAGCAATAGTTTTTAGAATAGATGATATCAGTGTTTTCCAGCCTTGCCTGGATTTCTTCCTTTCTTTTTCTTTTTTCTTTTTTTTCTTTTTTTTTTTTTTTTTTTTTCAGATACATGACCAACTGAGATTTACTAAAATCCAAACAGCAACAATTAGATTTCTCCTAAACCGTCCCTCCCAAATAATCGGAACAGACACCTGGTTGTCTAAGCAGTGATCTACAGGCTACCTTCAGGAATCTGGCCATGTGTCAGTCCCATCCCAAGAGACGGGAGCTGGGAGCACCGGGCCCTGCTGAGCTGTGGCCAGACACAGGCTTGCATGCAGTGTATGCCAAATCAAAGCAGCCAAGTGTCCGGTGAAGGGCCTGGTGTGGAATCCTCAGCACAGGCCGTGTCCTTCCCCTTTTGTTCCTCTCCAGCCAAGATCCAAGAGCAGTGGACAACCCTGAGTTCAACAGCCTTATCAGACAATTAAAGTCAGGAATAATGTGTTTATTTACTCGGTTTTTATAAGACCAAAAAGTTTATTTTGTCTTGGTCTAAACTCAGATTACAGTGAATCAACTTGAAGAAAGCATGCAATTGATTTCAAATGTCTTGCCTTTCCTCTCAGTGAGGTGCTCTGGGGTCCTGGGCTGCCCACATTACACTTTTGTGAGTTTTTATATCACTAAGCTTACAGTGAACACACAGCCTTGAGGTGAAGCTAATGCCATTTCCCCCCAAACCTCAATCTTACATAAGTTTTCTAATTTATCATTTAACTGTCAGGAAAAACAAGGCACTGGGAATATTCACCCTGAACTGTAGAGCTTCCCTGGAGTCAGGTGCGCTTTGGGCTCAGTGAATCTCAAAACTACCTGCAACAGATGATTAGTAAGAATACTTTTCTTTAAAACATAGGCTCCTATTTATTCTAGCATGGCTAAAAACTATTTATGTCAAATGACTGGGAATTTACCCAGGTCTGATGATACCTTGAGTTCTGAAAATAATGGTTAGAGAGACTATGGTGTGGTGAAAAATAAAAATGACAAAATCCTTCTGAGAAATTAGGAGAAAGTGGTTATACATAAAATTCCAGGGGGCCAAAATGGTTCTTTGGATTTTCTGAGTAAAGGTCCCAGTCCCCATTTGACATCTCCCTAACGTGAATATCCCAGGCCCTTGCCTCCAAACCCAGCAACTGCAGATCACATTGCTGCTAAGTCAGTGCATCCCTGAGCCAGTACTGCACGCATGACTGTACAGAGGACGAGGGGACAAAGGTCCTTTGGGATGCCTCAGTCTCTGGCTGGCCTCATTTGTCTCAAATGGATCCCAAGGGGTCCTGCAGGCAGAGTTGCTAGAAGCTGAGGGCCAGTGGCCTGAAACACCATCTCGCCCTTACACAGGACAGCCTGACCCAAGGTCCTCTCTGCCACACCATACACCGTGGGTTAGTTGTCAAGAGACCTGGAGATTTCTCTGGATATTCCAAATAATCTTGTGTTCATTTCTACATATCCATTCAATGGGTTAAGATTCAATTTCACACTGTGGAATAATCTTCTTGTACACTGTTAAGATTTGTCACTCGAATTTTTTTTTAAAGTGCTGACTGGCCAGGAGCCAGACAGAAAGTATAGATGGTGCTAACAAACTAAGGATGATAGGGAGGAGAAGGGCCAGGTGAGGAGTCGCCAGCCAGATACAGAGGGAGCAGGAGATGATCGTGCCACACTAAGAAATGTACCACCACATGGCAAAGTGTAAATAAGGAGTATGGGTTAAGTAATAAGCCTAAGCTAATGACCAAGCATGTGTAATTAATATAAGCCTCTGAGTGTTTGAGAGAGGCTGTGGGACTCAGGAAACATCCAAAGACCATAATTTCTTTTTATTTTTATGTGTGGGACTGTGTGTGTGTGTGTGTGTGTGTGTGTGTGTGTGTGTGTGTGTGTACATGCATGTAAGTGTGCAGGTGTGCATGGCACTTCACAGGCATGTAGAGGCCAGAGGGGAATGCCAGGTGCCATCCTTTATCATTGTCTGCCTTATTGACTTAAGACAAGGTCTCTCACTGCACCAGAAGCTGGCTGGCCAGCAAATTCCTAGGATCTGCCTGCCTCTACCCCTAATGCTGGTATAAGAAGAATGCACAGCCATACCAGCTTTTTAAGTGGTTGTTGGAGACTCACATCTTACCACCACACCCAAGACTACTGTTTTGTTGTTTTGGTTTGGGGGCTTGGAGGGATTGGTTTGCTTTTTTTTTTTTTTTTTTAGTTTTTCAAGACAAGTTTTCTCTGTGTAGTACTGGTTGTTCTAGCATGCACTCTGTAGACCAGGCAGGCCTCAAACTCACAAAGCTCCACCTGCCTCTGCCTCCTGAGCACTGGAAAAGACTTCCTTTGAAAATCAATCTCTAGCCCAATGTTGGGCCTGGTAACACACATACTTATAATTCCAGTACTCAGAAAGGCAAAGCAGAATTGTCATGCTTTGAGGCTAGCCTGATCTACATAGTGATTTTTGGCCCAGACTTTCACTTCAGAATAAGCCTATGTCTCAAGAAACAAAAAGAAGAAAACAGAATCTCTACCCTTGCCCATAAATGACTGCCAGATGTCAAATGGCTACTTTGGCTCACAGCACTCCCCAGAAGGCAAACTCCTATCACACCAATGGGTTCAGAGCTTCCATACTGCACAGAAAAGCTGGTCAGAAGGACAAGACAGAATGTCCTCACTTCACCCACCATAGAATGGTTTCTCTTATGGCTCAAGCATCAGACTTACATGTGAGGTGTCACTTTTAGCCCTGCTTCTTAAAGAACTATAACTATTCACTAGTTTCTCTCTAATTCTTATGTCATGCTGAAAAAGACTTTATTATAACTGAAAGAGAAATTAAGTCAGAAGCATAGCTTTTTACATTCATGTATTCACTCTTCTAATCTCTCACTCATTTATTACACAAAAACATATGGATTCTCCAATAAGTCATAAGACAATTCATTTAGTGTGGGGGACACAATATGAAAAAGACTCATAGTTTCTGCCCATCGACTAAGCCAATGGGTATGAGGAGGACAAACACTACTGAAACAAAATGTTCTACTTCAAATATAGGGCATGGAAGAAGCCTCCAGAGCACCGTGACAGCAGCAGATAGGAGAGGGGTCTGAGCAGAGGACCTTCCATATCTCAAGGAAACATGTCCCCTTAGCTTTCTCTACTCCCACACTAAACCTACCTTCCCCCTCTGCTGACATACATGTCACAAGACACTGTGTGTGTGTGTGGGTGTGTGTGTATGTGTCCTTATCTTACTAAAACTACCATTGTGGGAGGGGAAAGCGAAGCACAGAGAACAATTATCAGGGAATAGGCACCATGCCCAGACTCAGTGAGACAAAGTGACTTCAAACCTGCCAGGGAACACTCAGTTCACGCTGAGAGTTGTCATCTTGGCCAGTCCCCAGACCTCCTGCCACAGCTGCCAGGCCCTGGATGCAAGGACACCACCTCAAAAAGCACACCTTGTTTTCCCTGTAGAGAAACTCCAGATGTAGGACTTTGCGGAGATCATTTCTGCTGTTGATGCTGAGATCACAGCGGGGGCGCTCCTGGTCCATGGTCATGAATGTCTTCCTCAAACCCTGCGGGAAGAAGTCTGAGTCACTGTGGGCCATTTGAAATGAAAACCTTCCCTTCTCTGACGCACTGTAAACAGAAAACTGCTGGGACTCATTAGGATTGGGCTCATCTGCCTTCCTTACAAGGTCATGGCAGGCAGGGGCCCAAAGCTGACTTCAGAATCCATTTTCACGAAACCAATGGGCTTGATGGCTTTGTCAGTTTGGTGTGGGGTCAGCTAAGGCTGGGGTTGTGGAATCATTTTATAAGTAACAATGAAATCCAGGTAACTAGACTGCCGAAAGCCATCTCGGGAGCTCTGTGTCTGGCCTAGACTTCGGGCCATGAAAGACGAACCTTTAAAAATAAACGGAAGTTTGAAAACAAAGAACAAAAAACACAGTCAAAAGGCCAACAATTGTTCCCTTAACTTTTCTGCTGAGGAAGCCAGGAGACATGCATCAAGTCACATGATCCACATCGGTCTAGCCAGGAAACCTGACTGGCACCCAGTCCCCTACAGAGCAACTCATGGATATCTGCCAAGTCACCAGCAAACCACCACCCATCACCCCACAAACACCCAAAGACAGAAACCTGCTCTTCCAGGAGCTTGGCATCCTCATCTGCAAACAGCCACAACAGCTGCTTCCTCCCATTACAGGGTGCTAAGACCACCCAATGCCTGCAGAAGACGTCTCAGCCCCTTCCTTCAGGATCAGGGATATCCCTTACTCCTGACAGATCGGGACTCCAACTTTTCCCTCAGCCTCTGTGCTCAGAACATTATAGTAGCTCCAACTGCTGTAAAACAATCAAACTCACTGCTTGCCATGGCTTGTGATGAGAAAGTGAATCTGGGAAAGGAAAAGGGGGCACACAGTTGAGCCAGAAAGAGTGAATGAGGGTCTCTAGGAATAGCATGGAGAGAAATAAATGTTATGTGTTGAAGAAAAGATGGCTAGTGAAGGAGGAGGCAGGCTCAGAAACAACCCCTAGAGCAAAAGAATTGGGGAAAGTAATTACAGCTGGACATGGTGATGTGCAACTCATAATTCCAAATACAGGAGTCAGAGGCAGCAGACACTAGGGTCTGAGTACAGCCTGGGCTACAAAGAGAGCTTGAAGAAAACCTGGGCAATGTAAACATGACCCTGTCTCGGAACCACCACAACTAACAACACAAGCGATTGCCCTAGCCCATAGTTCTGGCTCTGTGTGATTTTGTGAATGTCTTAGTTTGGGTTTGTATTGCTATGAGGAAACACCACGACCAAAGCAACTTGTGTGTGTGTGTGTGTGTGTGTGTGTGTGTGTGTGTGTGTGTGTGTAGGGGTGTTATTTGGCTCTCGCTTCCATTCACTGTTCATCATTGGGACAAGGATCATTGATGATTGGGACAGGAACTCAAACAGGACAAAAACATAGAAGCAGGAGTTTCCATGCAGAAGCCATGAAAGGATGCATGCATGCTGGCTTGCTCTCCATGGTTTACTCAGCCTGCCTTCTTATAGAACCCAGGACCACCAGCCCAGGGATGGCCCTGCCCATAATGTGCTGGGCCCTCCCCATCAATTAATTAAGGAAATGCATCTCAGGCTTGCATACAGGCCTGATCTTACGGTAGTTTCTTAATCGAGGTTCCTCCTCTCAGATGACTTTGGTTTATGTCAAGTTGATACAAAACTTTAGCAAATAAAGATATCTCCTTTATACTTTTAGATAAAACAATAGGAGGAAGGGGAGGTCAGGCAGGCAGATGGTTTCTGAGGTGCCACCAGGTGGGAGGTCTGCTTGTTGACCCTGTCTAGGTGAGACAATCAGGTGTGACAGCTCTCATGCAAGTACTGACAAGCAAACATTCAAGGTGAGTCCAGGAGCAATCCTGACAAATACTGATCTTGGGAGTGATCAGAAGAGCTTAGGAAGAAACAGACCCAGTCTCAGGACAGAATAGATCAAGGGAAATGTGAAACAAAGTCTAGAAGTAAGAGTGAGAATGTAAGCTGGGGCCAAATGGTGGGCTCCCAGGGTGTCAGTGACTGCTTTGGATTACACTCAAGAAATGAAGGGATTTCAGACACTGCTACTTCTGGTACCCAGACTTGGCATCCGTGTCAGCCTCTGGGCACATGTCACTGGTAATCCAACTCTAACCCAAGACTCAGTGACAGAAGGTCAAAGCAAAACAATGAAGCCAGATGCATCACAATTTTTCAAAATAAACAGAACATTTTTTTTAAAAAGCATGCAAGCATTTTAAAACAGGTTCAGTCAGAGCTGGGGAAGCAAGTATAACATTGAATACTATGTACATATTGTATATAAGTATCAGACCTAATGCTTGTGTGCTGACGGTATATCACTAACCTTCACTACACGTTACACATGGTGGAATTTCAAAATTCTGTTTGTAGAGATGAGGTAGTAATGTCAAACTTATACTGCAAACCAGTAACTTATATCTAAACTTTCACCGCCTGATCTCAAATCCTTCCACTTTGTTCCATTCACATGGAGTGTGTGTGTGTGTGTGTGTGTGTGTGTGTTTGGACCAGCTGAATATGACATCACATGGAAGTACAGACCCCTCAGTGCATAGAACTCAGCCACTTCGTGTAAAATATGAACCAATACCCTATTCCTGGCATCCATGACGCACCCTCCTCTCCTAGGCCCCCACGGGGTGCCCAAGATGCGCCTAACTTATAACACTTTGAAAACTCTTCTAGGAAGAAAGAATAAGAGAATTTGCATAATTCTTCTACAAAAGCTCATGCAGCAGCTGGAATTCCCACTTTTGATTAAAACGACCAAAAGGACTGACTGTCCAGAACTTTCCTTTAGAGTTCTTTTCTGGGGACTTGTCCTGTACCCCAGGCTGGGAGAACTTGCTCTGCCCTGGACACGCTTGCCAACCTGGTACTGCCATGACAATGGGTGCCAGGGGAGGGCAGCAGACCAAGGGCCAGCCTGACTTTGTGCAAGTGTCCTAGAACTAGGAAGGACTGGCTTCTGGGAAATGTAGTTTCCCTGTCCCGGGAAAGGGGCTCTCTTGAGTCTGAGGCAAACATAAGGGGTGGAATGCTCCCCCACACCCGAAGGTGCAAAGATATTTAGGGAAACCCCAGGCTGCCCTCTTCCCAACACTGAAGCGGCCTCCAGCCTTTACCTTTCTGCTAAGAAACTCCCTGACCAGGGAGGCGGCCACCTCCTCCACGTACAGGCTGTCCATGCTGCTGGCGCTGCCCCCAGGCCACGCGGCCTCCTGCACTCCCAGGCCGCGGAATCCGTTGGGCCCAGTAAAGCAGCGTTGCCGTGGCGACGGTGGCCTCCGCGCCAGGAAGAACTCCGCCCCTTCCTGGGGAACTGGCGTTCTAGGGGAGCGGGAGGGAAGAAGGGAGGAGCATCCTCCAAGCTGTGCTGCAGTTGAGGGCGGAGCATAGCCTGTGAGCTTTGGGAACCAGACTGACTCTTGCCTCCTGTGATGGATGTCAAAAGTTCCATTTCTCTCTGCACATATAATGGGAAGTACACCAACCCGGTGACTCTTAAAGGTCTGAACCGCTGGGAAAGTGTCCCCAATGATCCATCCTCAGGACTACAGTTGCCTCCCAGGCACACTGACATAGACCTTAGTGGCCTGTCCTCTGTATATATAGCAAGGAGGCCAAGACTCCAATTCCTAGCATCTAGAACCTGGGAGGGATGAAAGATGGGCAAAGCCCAGGTTTTTGGCAGTCACTTGGGTACCACGTCAGTGTTCTTAATCTTTGTACTTCCCCTTTTGTGTTTGATGGGGATGCCTTAATAAAACGCCAGTTTGTGGCTTCAACCAGATTACTGTCCAGTAGTCTTGTAGCCTCCAAGTTCATGATGAAGGTATCACCGGGGCTTTTATTGCTTGAGGCTCTTCTCATCGCCTCTATCTGTGTCTTTATGGAGACTCCTTAATGTGTCTGTGTGCTATTCAGCACCGGTCACAAAAAGTGTCCACTGTAAACCAGGATGGATCCCTGGTGCACGAAAAGACTTTGGGAGCACATTCTCCATAGAGGGATACTCCCTTAGCCTAGAGGCAGGAGGGGGGGACTAGTCCCTACTCCAAATGACTTGACAGATTTTGATGACCCCTCCTGGAAGGCATCATCCTCCCTGTGGAGTGGGGGTGGGGAATGGTACGGGAGGGGCGTTGGGGGACATGGAAGGGAGGGAGGAAGGGAGGGAGGGAAGAAGGGAGGGAGAGAGGGAGGGAAGGAGAAAGGGAGGGAGAGAGGGAGGGAGAGGGAACTGGGATCAATATGTAAAATAAGAATATATATATATGTATATATATACATATATATATATATATATATATATATATATATATATAGTGTTCACTGTAATGACCTCATTTTTAACTTACCTTACCTTCAGACAGATTGCATTCTGGATACAAGGCATTACGACCATAAACTGTGAACTTTAGGGTCTCAACTCAACACATATCACCTATACTACCACTTAATATTATTTTCTTTAAACCAACATGTTTCTTATTTTTTTCCTAAAAGAGTTCCCAGACAGTAAGACCCACAAAAATCATAGTTTTATATGATCATTAAATTCTAATAAACCTTCAGACAGTCACAAAAACAAAAAGACACACGCTCTGTGGTGGAGGGGCGTCACACTTCATTTCGGTGTCCTGATGGCATCACTGTATCAGGACAGTTTGAATTACAGTTTTCGGGCATCCTCACCTTCCAAGAAGTTCTCTCTCTCTCTCTCTCTCTCTCTCTCTCTCTCTCTCTCTCTCTCTCTCTCTCTCTCTCTCTCTCTGCAAGAGCAATGTTAGCTCCCGGGGCTGTAAGACCTTGAATGTGCATAGAGTGAAGATGCAGTCGCGAGCCTTACCAGGGTGCCTGCTCTTTCCGATGCAAAGGCACACTAGTACATGTGTTATGATTTAAGAACACAAGGCAGACTTACATATACAGGTAAGAGCTGGCATATCAAAAGCAGTAATTGCTTGTCTTTGTTTTGTTTCCTGTTGCTGTAACAAAATTCTGTGATTCACGGTTCCAGGTAACATCTCACAAAAGTCACAGCAGCAGGACCTGGAGGGAGTTGGTCTTATCACATCCATAAACAAAAGCAGAGTGTAATGAATATATTCGTGCTCAGCTAATCTCTGTCAGTACACAGTCAAAAGAATGGTCTGTGGCAGCGACCACAGCCGGGGGAACTATGGGAGAGGGTCCAGGAAAAAAGGCAGAGGGGGTCTTTTACCTCAGGTGTGTTTTGTTCCCTGGATTGTCCTCAGACTTGATTCCATGCCTCCTGTGGCAAACATTTACCTTTAATTTATAAGTTATGTTTATTTTTGTTGTTGGATGTCAGAACATAAGCTATAGAACCCAATCTGGCCAGTGTGCCTGAATCTGGACATGGCCTTCTGCCTTGCTTTTGAGCTTTCCCAGATAGTAGCTATATAGTACGTGCCAGGCAATTGGATTTCAAGTGCTCTGTCCTGAGAAAACTCCAGGAAAGGCTGCTCTGTTAATATTTAGTGTGTGCTTACTGATGTTTATTTACATGTTTTCTGGACTCAAACACCCTTCCTTAGATCATTGCTTTCTTTGTTACATCTGTGTACAAAAGTCCACTGAAACTGAAGTGAGGTCATCTACAGGGTTAGACTGTGGTCCGCCCCATTCTTTCAAGTCCTCCGATCCCAGGTCCAGCAGACAAAATCTGCACAGGTCAGCTGAAAGGCTGACAAACCACACTCTTTTATTTATTTTTATTCCCTGTGTGTAATTTTGCTTGCATTCATGTATGTGTACCATGTACATTCACGGTGTCCAGGGACACAGAAGAGGACCTTGGATCCCCTGTAACTGGAGTTACTGATGATTGGAAGCCACCATGTCAGTGCTGGGCACTGACCCTGGATTCTCTGCAAGAACGACAAGTACTCTTTACCACAGAGCAATCTCTCTAGCCCTACGCCTTCACTCTTACAGTTCAGGCTCTCCTACCTAAGGAATGGTAACACTCACAGTGGCCCAATCTTCCCTCCTCTTACCATACTTAAAATTATCCCCCACAGCCAACCTAATCTAAATAATCCCAGAGACTTTATTCCTAGGAAACTCTAGACTATGTCAAATTGACAATTAAAACCAACCATCACAGTGTTGTGTAAAAAAAAAAAAAATATATATATATATATATATATATATATATATATATATATATCAAAAGATACTGGGTATGATGGCACGTGCCATTGAACCCAGCACTCAGGAGGTAGAGGCAGGTGGATCTCTGTGAGTTCCAGGCCAGTCAGGGCTGCACAGTGAGACTCTGTCTCAAAAAACAAAACAAAGAAAGTAAATATATTCTTCTGTGGAGGTCAAGAGGGAAGTCAAATCCAGGTGTGATGGCTAATCTTACTTGACAACTAGACTGGATCTGGGATACACTGAAAAGACAAGCCACTGGGCACTCCTGTGAGAGATTTTTCTGGGTGCTATTTGAAATGGGAAGAGTCACTTTTAATGTGGGAAGCACCTTAAGTGGCAGCCCAGATCCAAAGGAGATGGAAGAGGGAAACTTTGCTTTTTGCCAGCTTGCTTCTTTTCTGGCCAGTGAGTCCCTCTACCCTGTGGCTGCTGCCACTGATTCCTTTGCTGATATTAGAACTGCTTCTTTCAGCTTCCAACATAGATCAAAGGCCAGGAGCTCTTCAGGAATCCTCCAGGCCTTCTGCACTACATTGAGACAACCATTCCATCCAGGCTCACAAGACTGAGAACTTACTGAATTCTTGCCCCCCCCCCATCATGAAATAGCCATTTTTGGACTACCTAGACTACACTATATAAGATCACCTAATAAATCACCTTGTATTACATATTCATTCTATTGGCTCTGACCTGGAGAACTTTGACTGACAACAGGGCACAGAAAAACACCATGAATTTATTCTTATTTACTCATGACTTATTCATTGATAAAAACATATTGAGCCGTGTCATAAGCAGAGTATACAGGTGGCAATAATTTAATACTGTAAAATATGTCTTCAAAGAGAAATGAGGAAAATGGCAGAGACGGACAAAAGGAAAAGAAAATGAGCATAGCAGATATTTTTAGGTCACAGATTTAAAGGAGAAAAACAGAAATATGAGGGTTTGGGGCAGGCTTTTTAAAAGTTTTTAAAAATTCATAACAGGGTTAAGGAGGTGAGGTGGTTTGGTCAGCAGAGTGTTTAACATGCAAGAATGAGCACCATGGTAAAGGCAAAAGAGCATGGTAGTGCACATTGGTATCCCTGGAGTGGGGAGATGGGGACAGACAGATCTCTGGGGCTTGCTTACCAGACAGCCTAGGCTAACCAGCAAGCCATAGGCCCCTGTCACATAAAACAAGGTGAACATTAGGGATCAACACCCAAGATTGACCTCCAGCCTCTATGCATACACACACACACACACACACACACACACACACACACACACACACACACACACACACACGGTAGGACCATATAATATTTCAGCCAAATTCAAAGGAATAAGCTGCGGAGAGACCTGGAGGAAGAGCACTCCAAACACCAGTGCAAAAGGCCCTGAGGTGCCCTAGTGCCTGGGAAACAGCAAAGACCAAGGGGCAGAAAGAAAAGGAGGAAACATGGCATAATAGTCTGGAAGAAACAAAGATATCATAAAGAGTGACAATGTGCCCCTCCCTTTGACTCCCAGACTACTGAGACAATGGACTACAAGGAATTGGAATTTCCCCCAGGAGTCTCACACTAGGGAAGGAAAAGGCTGGGGCCATGGTGCCAGACAGACAGGGAGCCTGTCTCCCAGGAAAAGATGGCACACGGTTCTGACAACTTGTTCGTCCACCTTTCAGAAGAGACAACAAAGAGTGAGTGATGGGCAGAGCCAACCCTTGACTAGAACTTCTGAGCTATGCATGCCTCTGGACCTCTATTTAAACCTGAGTCTCATGTTGGGATGCTGAAGATGATGGACTCTCTCTTCGCTCCCAGGGAGTATCACTAGACCTCTTTATTTGCATCTCTTACAAATGTGGGCACATTAAATAACTCGTTTGCTGCTTATTGAGTACAGATTATTGAGCCGAGCCTAGCCTGTAACAACCCTAGATGCCATCAGCCTGTACCCATCAGCAGAACTTAAGTCCTTAGTCACAAGTGGGCACACTTGGGAGAGTTAGGAGCAAAGGAGGGATGCAAGCTAACTCGTTTTGGCAGGGTTCTTCTGGCTCTTTTGTTGACAATGGAACAAATTTGGAAGCAGGAAGACTAGGAAAGAGTTATAACAGCAATGTGGGAAAGGTTTAATATGAGTATAGCAAGAGAAGGGAGAGAGAGAGAGAGAGAGGGAGGGAGGGAGGGAGGGAGAGGGAGAGAGGGATAGGGAGGGGAAGGGGAGAGAGTTTGACTACAATAATTCACTTTGCTGAGGTTCTGTCCATGTGTGAGTCAAAGGGTTCTATGTCTGGTTATCTAGTGCAGGGATGTGTGGAGTCCTGCTTGGTTCTGGCACCAGGAAGTATCAGGTGCGTTGGGGACTGGAACAAAGATGTGAAGCCTGCTATACAGGGACAGTTTTGTGTAAGCATTATCTCCTTCACAGTGCTCTGGGAAGGACACTGACTAAAAAGCCCTTCCAGTTCAAGACTCTTGAGGAAAGTGCAGAGCTGGATGTCTGCCCCAGTTAGGACATTTCCAGAAGACAAGCAAACACATTGTCCCCACTACCATGCCCAGAGCCAGGAGATAGGAACATGGGTCTGGCGAGGTCAATAAGCTGGCTCAGTTTAATGAGCAGGACATTGTGAAAGCCCTTTTGATGACCTGGCTTGCAGAACTTCTCAGCTATTTAGTCACTCCCTCCAGAAGTCAGTGGATCCTTCCAGACAACCATCCCAGCAGCATAAGAAACAACTCATCCACACACTCCCTCATGGCCCTATCCTGGCAACCGGGTCCCAGCCTCTGTCCCTGAGCTGTATCCCCATGGCCACCAACATGAGCCTTTGAGATAGTCACTCTCCCTGGAGAAGCCCCACTTCCACATTCTTAGGAGTCGTGGAGACTAGCCAGTCTGTGTGGGGCGAGGCGAGATGAAAAGGTGTGGAAGTTTATGGAGACATGAGAAGGAGGAACTTCCTCTCCCAGGAGTCTGGTTGGAGCCTTTAGCCAGTTGAGAACCAAGGGTTCCAACACAATTGATGTTTGATTAAGGTCTCTCTCCTTTCCAACCTATAAAAATCTACCATTTTCTAGCAATCTCACTGGAAAACCCACTGACAATTTAGGATGCCACCTGGGCTTGTTAGTGCCTGTCCAGGTTCCTTGACACAGAACTAACAGTCTTCTCGAAGCTCTGTGCAGGCCCTGTCTGTGTTGGCTGTACGTA